TTATGGCCTATTTTTTGTAATAACAATGAAACGAGTCATTTCGAATACCGACATGATAATGAGACTGTTCGATGACGAATTTTTCATTATCGAAGACACCAATTTATAAAATACAAAATTATTGTATTTTATTGGCGCTTAGTAATCTTCAACAGCGTATTTGAAAAAAATTTCAAACGAATTAAATTTACCACATTACAAACAGTTCTTAGCTCTATTTTAGAAAATGTAATTTCAACTTGTTAAAACGAAGTTAGTATAAAATTTGTCAAAGAAAGCTTTTAGAATTCCTTTTTTTTTAATTTGTCTTTTAACTTAGATTAATGATGTATGTCTCTATACAAAGTATGCGACGCGTAGCAGTTTATTAGTAGTTGTTCTCATATATGCATTTGATACGGTGCATTTATCATAGATATATTTTAGACTCCATTTATGAAAATCTATAGAGCAGAGAATTTTGATTTTTTGTATCAATTTAAAATGTAGATTCAAATATTTATATGTCGTTGATACAGACATGTCAAAATCATGATACAACAGGAAATATTCATATGCACGGTCTGAACACAAGAATTTACAGAATAAGCCTATTTCTTACTGAATAGAGAAAAATGGCCAAACGAATTACAGAATACAGAAAGGTAAACCCCCACCCCCTTCGTTTCCCCTAATCCAGACCCTAATATATCATTGTGATGGATAGATTTGTTTGTTCTATTTAACTGTTTTTATTTTCGAAAAGAATATTTGTACAAGGTGTTGTTAATAGATTTCAGATATCTCTTAAATCTACTTTTTACGATTTACTACCGGTACTTTAATTAGATTGCAGTACTAGTACCTCATATTACAAACCAAATACATGTATGATCAAATATACCTAATGTCATCTTATCTACTGCTTATTATTCCAGATATCCAAATTATTACAAAGAAATTAAAATAGCTTTTCCCCGTGTTTTGTTTTAATCAGATATTAATCAAAATTGATAAATGGTATCATTTATGCAGTACAGTGACAGATTCAGGGATGAGGGGTCACAAGTAGTGTCGTCATACATATGTCGTTGATACAGACAGAAAGATATATCATGTTAAAATCATGATACAACAATATGCACGATCTGAACACAAGAATTTACAGAATGAGCATATTTCTTACTGAATAGAGAAAAATGGTCAAAAGTATTACAGAATACAGAAATATAAAACCCCCACCCCCCCCCCCCCCCCCTTTTTTCCCCCTAATCCAGACCCTCATATATCATTGTGACGGATAGTTTTGTTTGTTCTTTTTAACTGTTTTTATTTTCGAAAAGAATATTTGTACAAGTTGTTGTTAATAAATGTAACGGACAATACATACCATGTCCTCTCAGCCGACGTCGTAATTTCATTTTTAATGAAAGAAAGTATTTAAAAGATTCTCTCCCTGTGCAATATGATTTATTAAACTCATTAGGCAGAGCAATTTTTATGACTACTTGCATAAATGTTTAATCGTATTAAATTCTGTTTCAAATTTATATTTATAATAAAAGTTTCAGATCTTTAATATTGAAAACGGGTTAAAATTATTTACTTGCATTAATATTGATATAAAAACATCCAGTTCTTTTTTTTTTTGTGTTTTTTTGTAGATCTAAGAAAAAAAGCAACTCTGTTACACTAAAACAATTGACTAATTAAAATTGTCACATGGTGTCTTCTTATGTCGTCTGAATTACAATGAAAGTTAATGATCTGTAATTTATATATTCCCCATCGGTAATTATTATCTAAAATGTTTATTTGGCATGCCATACTCGATAGAAGTGCGGACGTGAAAGAAAAGCACTCTTCACCAAAACGTAAACGGAGATTACATTCCACGGAGATTACATTTCGATTACTCCGTCATTTATAAAACATAAAATTAAAAATATAGATAATAAAGAAATATAAAAATCTCAGATATAAGTATAACAAGCTACGGGTATATAACTCGAAGTCGTTAGTTTTGCTTTGTTACGGTGGGACAAATCAGCGTCATAAAATGGGCGCTTAACCGGAGAACCAGTGAGTAGCGCAAAGCTAATAAAACCTGAGTTTCAGGAGTAAGTGCATAGGACCTATTCGTATCATGTTTTATATATGGTTCTGTTGCCAATGTTATTTCATTGATACTGTGTCTATCCAGTCTGTATCTGGATATAATATCCATTTCATTTTCAAAATGATCAAATGAAGAAACTGTGGTTCTAATATTGAAGATTCTTCTTATCTAACATTTGCGGCATCTTGATCGAGAATAAAGCCATCTTAGATATGGTTTAATTCATATTCGCGGAAAAAACTACTATCGAGATACGATTGGGTATAGCTGTAGTAAGTTACGCCAGGATTTTAAGTATTATTTACGCTCATCTTAACTTACGACGGCTTTGTGAAACGGCTGTAAAACCTACGATTTAATTACGATGAACGTACGATGACACGTAGACTTACTAAGGCAGGTTCCTGACTTAGGACAGGTGCAAGCGAATGAAGCGGGTTTAAACGTTTTAACAGGCGCCAACCTTCACCCTAACCTGAAATATTAGTGGAACATTACAACATAGAAAGACACACTATAAAATATCAATTTAAATGACTTAACTCAATCAAAAAGACATATTAACAAAAACAAGTAAACATACACATACATATTTGGGACAATAACAAATTAAACAATACATCATACAAGTAAGTTTTGCATAGTGGGCGGACGTTGATAAATGCATTGAAAACTTTACTGCTCCTGGAAAAAAAGATTATATTGAAATGAAAATGTTGCAACTTAGTTTTACAGCCGGACACCTTTTGGGCTCTCAAAGAGTTGTAAGAATTTCTAACGTGGAGAGAACGTGACAATGTAACAAACGCAAGAAATCGGATTTAATGCCCCCATGCAGACTGGACGTGGCTGCGTATGTATATATCCAAACAAACACTCCATTTAGTTGGGTCTAACTGTTAGATCTTAAGTTAGAAGTCTAGCTGACCATATTTCTTTATACAAGGCTACTCTTTTGGTCAGCATTTCTGAAATACCTTCCTTTTTGGTAATAAAGCTCTTCAACTGTTTCGGTTTTTTATAAATCCTTGGCTTTCAAATATTCGGTTATGAGCGTTTCTGATGAAGGTAAATCCAGAAAAGCACTTCGGACGAATAACATTTATAACGTGTCGTTTTTTTTTCATGAGTTGTTTGTTTTGTTTTGCTCTCTGTGTATCATGTATCATTTCAACTACAAAATCCAAAAAACGATGACCAAAAGTATGAAAAGATGATTGCACCTCTGTAGTGCACCTTTGCAAATAATTGTGACCCACCATGACACTCATTGTGAGACAAACGCCGTTAAATATCAACATCACGTAAATTTTGTAAACAAACAAGTTTATTTCTATACTGAATATAAAGTCTGGATGCTTTTCAGCTTTAAATATGACATATAATTCAAAGTTTTAAGCTTAAAGAAAGGAACTAACCAAAGTTGAAACAATCTGTATATTTTACTTTTTAAATTGTTTGTCTAAAACATGAAAAGTTTAGTAAAACACCCTTTTCTTCCGTATTCTTTTGATTGGTGTGTTACAGGTATAAAAATTAGTAGATTTAGTATGATTGCTAATTAGACAATTCTCCACGAGAATACAAATGACGTAGAAGTTCGTAACTATAGGTCACCGTACGGGGCTTCAACAATGAGCATCAACAATGAGCAAAACCCATACCGTAAATCAAGCTATAAAAGGCCCAACAATGTCAAGTGCACAACAATTCAAACAAAAAACTAACGGCCTGATTTATTTACAAAACAATAAAAGAAAAACAAATATGATATACAGCAACAAACGGCAACTACTTCTAAACGTAAGGCTGTCTCCCGTTATATATACTTTTCAACGCTATTGCCTTCTTAAACGTGTAAGGCATTTAAGTTTCCAGACGAATGCAGGTATCTTTAAGACGATCAGGAAGTTTATTTAAACAGGAATATGTATTTTGTCGTAAGAGTGTTATAATGATGTCTTAATGTAGAAATTAAATATGAGGTTTAAACGCGCAATATTATAGATATTTGCCTGAGATCGAGAAAGTTATGTAGCAATCGAATTTATGATGTTGAAGAGCAACTCTTTGTTCAATTTTCAAATCAATATTAGACATTTATCATAGAGGTCAAAAGAAGTCGTAAGAGTTGTTAGTATGGTAGATTTAAAATATAATTTACTTGATAAATACTATATAAATTGAAAATAAATAAAAAAAAATCAAATTTAAGCTTGTTTTCAGATAGTTCCTTCAACTCCCTTAAGACTTAATTGAATGGTGTTTAGTTGTCGTTTCGAAGTATTTGAGAAACGGTATACCATACCGCATTACTTTGGTTACATGTGTGTTTAAAATTCAATATTATCTGCTCTATATAGTTTTCAAACATGTAGTTAAAATCATTAAAATTGCATCATTATAATACATGTAGCATATCTAATGCATATTTTAGGTGTCACTTAGGACAATACGTCTTAAACTGTTACGCTTCGCATGCTATGTCTAGTTAAAACATGCATCATTAAACTGTCAAACTGTATAAGCTTAAAAGAAAATAAAAAATAGATGTGTACTTTATAAATTTATGTATTTGTTAATCAAAAAGTTAAATCAATACTCCATATGTCGATATGAAAAAGACCCAGCACATTAGTATTTCAACAAATCTGTCATAATAACTTGATAGCATGTTGTCTTTCAGTATGTACTAGATAAATATGATATAAGCCAATTTTAGGTCAAGTACCTCCACAAGCATGGAAATCACGTGGCTAGTCACATATCATCCCTATTGGCCTCATTATAAAAATAAGGAGATGTGGTATGATTGCCAATGAGAAAACTATCCACCAAATTTCAAATGAAGTGGATGGTTCATTACCTGTTACGTAATTTTACCTCATTTGTAATCCTTACATGACTTTTGTAAATTTATTGACGTTTGATTTGTTGTCAAAATCTGTTCATTTACAGATTTATTCAGAAAGGTAAGTAATTAAACTATCTGTTTAACTATATTTGTACTTACAAACCGGTATATTGGCAAAACAAATTGAGAGAATGGTATAACCTTAGATGGATTTTGCCTTTTTTGTATGTTCTTAATGGTCATTTAGCTCTTCAACTGTTTCGGTCCTTATACATCCTTGGCTTTCAAATATTCGGCTTCGGGCGTTCCTGTTGTAGGTAAATCGAGATAATCGCTTCGGACGCATGGAATTTATAAAGTGCTGTTTTAATTTATTTTTTTCTTACTTGTGGCATAACTTTCATTCTTAGAAAGGTTAAAAATGAGGACATATCAACAATAACATTGTATCAGGTTGTAAATGTAAATTAAACTTTATGAACTTTGTGCATCCGGGGCTCTTTTGTGTATCAACCTTTATCGAGCCAGGGATATGTAAATACGTAGAAACGTTAGAAGTTGTATGACCAAAACGAGAAAAGGACATTACTTTTAATGTCAACTTTGCCTGAGTGAGTTGAAATCTTAGAGTCAAAGCAGCCTTTCCACAAACGCCTCAATGGCCATAGGAGTGGTACCTCGAAGAAGCCACTTCTCCCAGTTGCTCAGCATTTCACACAATTGGGTCACAATTTGATGACTTTAAACGCATGAAAATCCTAGTGATTGAACAGAACATCCGCTGGAGTGATGCCCAGCGACAGGTTCGGGAAAGTTTTTGGATAAAGGAACTAAATGTACATCATCCAAACGGCATCAATAAGAAATACTAGCAGTTTTATTTTTCACTCGTTTTGGGATGTAAATATACACAGTCACGTATATTTGAGTATCGAGTTTTGTTTTATATTATGATGTTCAAGATTTTGGATTAAATCAATAGACCAAAACTTACCTGTATTACTGAGCTATTTTACACATACAATCAGTATTGTTAAAATTATTGACACTGACGAAGGCTATTTGTTAACCCGATATATTTGTCAACACGATTTTATAACATCAGCTTCGTATATTACCATCTTATATTAGTACCGTTGTGCAAATCTTTAGACTTATATAATTTTTTCCTTATCTGCGCAGTATCGTCTATCCTAGACGACCGATATATATTAAATTTGGTGGTTGGTCTTTTTTATAGACTTCTATATATATATTTGTATAGGGGTCCAAATACAGCACAAACATCATTTTCCAAAAGACCAAATGAGTAAAAAAGTACATTTTAACAAAACGCATTTGACTAGCAGGTCGAACAACTGGTGTTCTTAAACCCTGCTGACTGCCATTGGCGATTGCCAAATAAACGGATCACAAGATGTAACAAAACAGAACTTATTATTAAATTATTACTAAACAAAAAACAATAAACTTGAGGAAAAGATGGTATACCGCAATATATATAGGTATTTTGAATTGGTAGTTTGGCACCTTAAACAGGGTATATGCTGGGGAGGGAAAACAGACAACCTACCATGTTGTATTGGTTCTTCAAAGGGTAAGAAACTGTGACATTCTGTCTACATGAGGCATTACGTTTAACGCCCCTTCTAACAGGACTCGACCTGAATATATATTGCGCACAGCACAATGGGATACCCCCTTCCGCATGGATTTTTTTAACGGACTGGAAATTTCCTGGTATTCATATTTCTGTACCACATTTCATCCTCGTAGTCGGTACTAGTTATAAAAGAATCGGGAAATTTAAATATAACTATCTTTTTTTTGCTGTGCATTAAAGTTATAAGTATCAAGCTCCGTCATTGCTAAAGTGAGAAAAATGAAGGAAAGAAAGTCAACGATTTTGACGACACAACTTTATCATATATGTTATTGTAAGTAAATGTAATAAATGACGTATCCTGTTTTTGTAACAGGTGAAAAATCGAATTAGACATTTGAATAATAGGTGCAAACTATCTAAATGAATGACAATGCGACACGTCTAGTTCAAAGGGTGCAACAAGTCACCTTCGGCGTCTTATAGTACAATATACATTTGTAGTATAATAAATTTGAAAACATAATATGTATTTCCTGGTCATGAAAAACGAATTCAGCAGTAATGGATTTTTAACGTGTGACATTTTTCGTTTTTAATTTGTCGATAAACTTTTCATACGTAAGGTAAGTATTATTATTAAAACTGTTTAATGGTTCCGAATTTTAAAATATCTTCTATTACAAATTTTAATTTGACCAAGGATTTGAATTTTGTATGATTTCAGAATCTCTTAAAATGTTTCTTTTTCCAGCTTATTCTTAATGTAAAGAAGAAGCCTAAGAGTCAATCCCCCCTGAATGTCATTCACACTCGGGCCGTGTCTATCTTTACTTAATTTACTTGAATGGACTGGTGAGCTGTTTGGCTAACTTCCAGTGGCAAATTTTTCATGCATATATAAAGTGGTTCGGGATGAAGGGTAAAAAAGTCGACTTCCACTGTAAAAGGACTGTATATTAGACGTGTTAGAAAAGTCAATACGATTTTGACGCTGATGTTAAATACCAATCCCACTACAGGCTATTGTGGGGACCATCTCAAAAAGCACAGCTTATCATTCATTAAAACTACCTGTATGGGTTTGTTTAATAATGCTGAGATGATTTTTGAACAATAAAATGATAACAATTTATTCCGCAATACACCGAGGAGGATCCAGCAAAACAACATTATTAGGTCTTTCCACTTTTCGGTGGAAAGACCTATTGTATTTGTTCTGATTTTTTTTTTTTTTTCTTCTTCCGCCACTTTTATTTCTTGCGTATAAATTTTGTTTCGCAAGATGTCGCTTAGATGTTTGGTATATGATATTGAACAGTTTATGCGCCTTTGAAATTTACCCTGCGTAACCGAATACTTTTCTTGAAGGACTTATCTTCCCGAACACTATTTTCCTTGTGACTGCATCTCCTCCGTAACCGTATAAGAAAGCGACAAATTTATTTTATAAAATTGCTCGTTATATCCTTCGCATGATTTGTCCAATTTTGACCGAAGCCATACGAACAATCCATATGAGAGTTATTTCCCCTTATGCATTTGATATAAGTGATATGCATTTCTATCTCGTAAACCATAAGTGATAGAGACCTAGGATCTTTTGATTTCAGGTCCTTGGTCCAAAAAAAAGAAAATAAGGTCAAGGTCAGAGGTCGAGGTCATATTTTAAGTTTTGGCTTATTTTCAATTCTTTTCAAAAACCGTATAAGATATCGACAACATATTTTTACTAAATTGTAAGTTGCGACATGTCGTAACACATAAATTTTGGTTAAAAGGGTACACTAACATTAAATTTGAGTTTTCTCCCCTCTTATATTAAAAATTAGGCATATAGTGATATAATTCATTAACCATATATAATTTAGACCTATAGTCTTTTGATTTGAAGCCCTTGGTTTATGAACTTGAAATTGAGCTCAGGGTCAAAGGTAAATTTGACGTTCTAGATATTGACCTTTGCTTTTACCTCATATGTATACATGTTAAAGCCATGGGACTTTTTGCATTACGTTGCAAGTCACTTGAACATGGATAAGCCAACCGGAAGTGACCATGTGCAAACCGAAAGTAGCTATTTTTTTGTACTTATTTAATGTAAAAGTATATTAAACCATATATTTTTGGAATCAGTATCAAGTAAACTATAAAAAAAAACCCAGAAGTGACATTTTTCAAACCGGAAGTAACAATTTATTTCACTTATTTAGAAAAAAAATGTATAGAAACCATATATTTTTGGAATCAGTGTACAATAAGCTATCATTTGACGCTGGATATGATATTTTAAACCGAATTGTTATAGTTCTATATCAAAATAGATCTTTATGGGTGGAAAGACCTTCAATTGTTCTCTGAACAATTGGTTTTTAATTATTATCAATATTATCATAAAATTGCATTGTTTCATAGTAGTGATCGATTAAGTTTAAGACCGTTGTTGACCCATTTCTTTCTAATTTGTTGAATGACTACAAGGAAAATCTGTAAAGTGATCAAAATAAATGAATACAAAAAACACTGCAATCAAATCACATTCGAATCCGATTTTTCTCGAGCCTGCGACTTCTGTCGCAGAAAGCTCGACATAGGGATAGTGATCCCGCGGCGACGGCGGCGGCGGCGTTAACAAACTACTTAAAAGCTTTTTATTTTAGAAGGTGGAAGACCTGGATGCTTCATACTTTGTATATAGATGCCTTATGCTATGAAATTTCCGTCTGTCATATGTCCATTGTCCTTAATTAACCTCATTTTCATGGTTCAGTGACTACTTGAAAAAAAAGTTAAGATTTTTTGTAATGTTAATTTCTCTCTTATTATGAGTAATAGGATAACTATATTTAGTATGTGCGTACCTTGCAAGGTCCTCATGCCTGTCAGACAGTTTTAATCTGACCTCGACCCCATTTTATGGATCAGTGAACAAGGTTAAGTTTTCGTGGTCAAGTCCATATATCAGATACTATAAGCAATAGGTCTACTATATTTGGTGTATGGATTGATTGTAAGGTGTACGTGTCTGTCTGGCATGGTTCATCTGACCTTGGTCTCGTTCTCATGGTTCATTGGTCTATTTAAAATTTTCTTGGTTAAGTTTGTTTCTTAGAAACTATAAGCAATAGGTCAACTATATTTGGTGTATGGAATGATTGTAAGGTGTTCATGTATTTCCTGTTAGGTTTATCTGACCTTGGCCTCATTTTCTGGGATCATGTTAACGTTATGTGATACTTGTAGTAAAGCTTTATATTTAGGACTATCAAAATAAAATCAATTATCAGTAAAGCAGGCGAGACATAACAGCGTGTGCACTGTTGTTTTACTATACATCAATTTTTGTTCAAAATGTTCCTTTATTTGAAAATTATTTAATATATACTTTTCATGTCGGGGCCTTCATAGCTTTTGTGCGGGATGAGTTTTGCTCCTTGTTGGGGTCATACGGTGACCTATAATTGCACACATTACGTTATTTTGTATCTGGTAGATAGTTATCTACTTTGACAATCATACCACATCTCATTATTTTTACATCATTTTCTAGAATAGAGAAATGTGTAGCTTAAAAAATCTAATAAAAAAAAACTAGAAATATGTGTACTTGACAAGTAAAAAACATAAAAGAATGAAACAAAGGCGTATTCAATTTTAATATCTATTTATTTTAATTTAATGTAATACTGAAAAGGAAAAATACCTAAAAAAAACGCTAAAATGTGTGAATTAATTATTCTAATTCACATTTTAACTGACGTTTTTTTCTTTCTATCAACTTTTGTCAATTAGTTTTTTCGGACAAAATATGTTATCGATCTAAATTTTAAAAAGATTACTACATTTTGGTCCTTATTCAAGCATGTTAAATTTACGTTTCGGTGAAGGGTCGGAAGTTTTTATTCTTGGTATCCACGGATTCCTCCACCAACAAAACAGATCAGCACGATTAAATTGAGATATTGTTGAAAGTGGCGTTAAAATTTCATATGGAGAAGTTAATTTTTTTATCTTTGGATAAGGAGGATAGCTTGAAAATGGAATAGTCATGTTCACCTCTTGCAAAGCCTGCTAAATTATATGTCGGGCAATTTTTTTTTTTTTTTTCGATTTTCTTCATTTTGTTTTGCCTCATATTCACTATACACTCCGCTTTCTAAATTGGACGGTACATAGTGATGGGTGGATGGATCCACCCGTCCGTTCTTTCGTCCTTTTGTCCATTCATGGCATTCATACCCAGATAGTAGTCGACAATACGAATCACATACGGCTCTTGAAAAGTGGTATTCTTTGAACATTAAAACGATGCGCAGCAAGACAACCTTCTTCCAAGAATTGACAGCAACTTGGAATTGGATTTTTCCTCAAAACTGTGTTAATTTATGTGATAAGATTTATGCGAACCTTCTACCAATTGTTACGCCATATAGGAGACACAAAATAATACAAAACCGCACAGGGAAAAAAGAAAACGCAAAAAAACTAAATATTGAAAAATTTCATAATGTCAAGTTTATGTCGGACACGCCACCAGACGTTAAAATATATTAAGGGTTGTTGGAACTTTATATAGACATCCAAGACATGAATCAAATCAAATTGTTGAATTGTACGTGTGCTGGACTTGTGGAGAGGCAAACTGAGTTATTTGACTATTAAACATATTCTACTAATAATAATTTAATGTTTATATTTGGACTTGTGGCCATACAATCCGTCATTCCCATTCTTGACCCCTACATATATTTTGTTTTCAAAGTTTTGTTTTGCACTCCGAAATCAAACAAATGTAAATGAATGTATGAAAATCTGCTTAAGGCCAATGCAAGTCTTAAAATTTGGAGTCGACGTTAACCGTTCGCTTCATATTGTATCAAACACACCACAAAGCTTAACTAGACTACGCCGGTCTACTTTTCAATGCAATTACATTTTGAGAAAGTCCACACCTAAATTTTGTATCGGTATTGTTATTTAACATCAACGCAGTATTTAAATCCCTTTCCTAACACGTCTATTAGATAGCTGAAAAAAGTTTGCCTTGTAACAGGTCACTTAGGGATTTGCCCGAAGAGTTGACTTAAATGTTATTTGGTGTGCAAAGAGTGTGACATTCTTAACAAGCGGATCATAGTTAACGCCACCGGCATGCAGACTGCAAATGACTGTATTCATACAATCCGCACTGTCAAGCATGAGTTTTCATCTCGAATGGGAGAAGTCCAGCGATAAACATATTACCCTACTGCACTTTGAGGTTGTTTTATACGGTGTACGGTTTTGGTTTTGCTCATTGTTAAGACCGTATGGTGATCTATAATTGCTTACATCTATGTAAGTTAAGGCCCATCGAATATGAAAATCTAACACGTTTTATTAAACCTTTTTGATAAAGTCTGTCATATATTTACAGGGCAATATTCTGTCAGATATTCGTATCTCGTTTCTTTTTTATTCTGTCTTACACTTTTGCCACATGCATTTACACGTCTTGTATTTAAAAGAAAATACATAGAATTTCTCTAATTCTTTGGCAATTTAACCCTTTCTGGACACATTGTTTAAAAATAATTAATCAACATGTGGTTGTAAATGATTTCAATAGAAGATTGGCTGAGTTATCATAACCGTTATCAGCTTCCTGAATTAATCGAAATGTGCTGACAGCTGTTAGAGAAATTGACAACTTTGTGGAATGTGGAAGGCACCCGAAGGTTTTTTTTTCGTTTAACTAAAATGAAAATGTATTTGACAATCATTAGTGAAACAGATTATTACATAGTAACTCGTGGATATCGGATTTTTCCAATCTCGATAGTTAGATTATCGAAATTTAATTCAACTATCTCGATTGGATAAATCCAAAAATCCACTGGTACCAATGTAAGAATTTATATATAACCTTCAGCCCTGGCAAGCGAATAATAAACTAGAATCATATTCACGCTATAATAACACATAGAAAGATTCCGGATTGATAGACATATCCGTACAGATTATAAAAGAATAAGCATGAAATGTTAAAGAATGATAATAATTGTTTGTCATTCCCGGGGCCTTTTATTATAGTTAACTATGCGGTATATGAATTTTGTTCATTGTTGTAGGATGCACATCTGTTATTATTGACATCTTTTCCCTTGGCATTAATGGATACTTGTTTCAGTAATAGTTATCCCATGAGGACGCGGTGTGTCAGTGTAAGATCATCCCGATGGCCGGAGGCCAGAGGGTGATCTTACACTGACACACCAAGTCCGAATGGGATAACTATTTTACATCCCAGCTGTTCTAGATTAGTTAAAAAACCATTTACGCTTCATAAAATCTAGTTTAGAACGCCACACAATAATAATAATATACTTTATATATTACTATGTAGTATATACCTTTTATGAACCTCGGACACAGTGTTTGAATATGTTAAATTAACACAAATTTGTATCCAGTCGTCCTGCTGTAGGGGTATGACTCGTGGTCTATATGTAAAGATAAAAAATAAGACTCGTGGTCTATATGCTAAAGGTCATGAGTTCGATTCCTAGCATAAACACTGTTTTTTTTTGTTTTTAGCATAAATTTTGATAGTTAGTCTTTTCCGTATAAATACTTCTAAGTTTTATTGTGGATTTGACATTCCCGCCAAAATGTTACAGAACAAAGGAAAGCATGCAGAACAAAGAAACTCAAGCCAGGGTGATCTGGTAGGGGTGACCTGAGCCAGATTACCCCTGGTAGAACAAAGGAGGTGGAATGTAATTGGCTATTAAATTACAAATCCAAATGTTTATAAAGGAGATTTGTATTTTCATCAAATGAGCTCGCAAGGACCATAGTACAGTATCGACATTATTTACGATTAAAAAAGTGCAAAGTATAAACTTTTTGAAAACACATAGCAACTCTCTCTAAATATATTGATTATTATTAGATTAGAATACCTCCATTCCAAGCACATCTCAAATCTAAACACATCTATCAGTTATATGTTTACTTAGATTGTAACGTGTTCCTGTATATTTTTTCTTCCCGTCTTGGAATAAATGGCAGATTTTCCTGTTTGATTTTAAATTACTTTTTCGTAGATGGAAACAACAGGAAGCTGGGTGAACATGTTTGATAATATGACATCGACGCAAAATAGTGGATCATACAATGTCACAGCAGATTTAATGGCGACAGAAGATGGCGATCCGACTAAAAGATTCATAAAAAAGACATCAGACATACTAATGATTGTCATTTTAGCCGTAATAATGATGTCGCTCGGTTGTACCATAGAAACTACAAAACTACTGCAGCAGATAAAGAAACCAGTTCCTGTCATTATTGGAATGGTATTGCAATTTATAGTATATCCGTTAACGGCATTTGGATTTGCACATGCGTTTCAATTGAATAAGTATGATGCACTGGGATTACTTATTCTAGCAACCTGTCCTGGAGGAAGTTTATCTAATTTGATTACTTTCTATTCATCCGGAGATGTGTGTTTGAGGTAATGTTTTATGTATTTATATCAAAATAAATCATTTGAGTGTATACAGAAAACACAAGTATTATAATGAATTCGATAATCTTCGGGTTTCTTTAAAAAAAGAGACGAAACCAAGGGACAATTAAAAATCACGTTCCAAAAAAAAGACAACACGATGGCCAAAAAGAAAATCGACGAAAAGAAAAAACATCAATAACAAACATAGAAAACTAAAAATTGAGCAGCACTTTAAAAATCTGGGGGTGAACGCAGGTGCCCTGGAGGGTCAGTTCCTGCTCCGGATATAGCACCCGTTGTGTTGTTCATGCAAATAAAAACATTTCGTTTACAGTCACCATCACGAATTGGTTGACTGATACGATGTATCGGTGTCTCCAGTATCAGATCACTGGACACCAGTAAAGTCGTCTTATCTGTAATTTTGCCATTTTTGTTTTCGCATGGCGGGTGACGCTATAGCAAGAGACGGTTATCTTGTCGACGCACCAGGTCTCGGTCCTATAAGAGTTCATGCGATTCACTCAGTCTTTGTTTGTTACCTTGATTTGTGACTGCCTAATTGATTTAAAAGATTTGAACATCGACAAACTACTGTCACCTTCATTTACTACCATTCGATGTTATCGGAAAAACTGTAAAACTTTCAGTACACCCATTACTGATACCTATTTTGAAAGTAACTTGACTATCATCACAGATGTCAACAAATTAAAATTATTCAAAATCTATGGTCGACACAATAGGATTCACGGTTATCGAACATATACAAAACCTTCAGTTCACACCGTGTCTATAGATGGTTTGTTATCCTCGGTTCATAAACCTTTGGGAATCCACTATATTCAAACTAAGCTCTTTTCACACCTTTATCAAAGCTCAATTCACTTTTTCAAGAGGCCCAAAACACTCCCACAGTTTTCCACCAAAAATCTGTGCAGAAAACAACACATGATTACCTCAAATGTATAACTACAACTATCATTTTATATACCTTCAACAAACCTATTGCTTTTAACATTTTCCACAACAAGAGGGTATTAGAGACATTTACTCTGAGGGATGTAAAATCAATCCTCCCAATTGATCTTGTTCATCGTCCCCCTTCAAATATAGTCCCGCTGGTCGTATTATAACTGCAGACATCGTGGCATCTTAAACAATGAACAACTTAGCCAACGGCCTGAAATATGGACTTCCCGAGCCCATCAATTGGAACAAGAACTTCAGGTTACTGGTAGATGCAGTTGAGGACTATGGTAGAAAATGATTAAAGCGCAAACCAGATGAACCAAAACCTGACACTTTATCTCAATGGATCTGTGCGGTCATTCATTTAGAAGTGCATTCAAAATCTTCGATGTACTATGAGCCTATGGGATTTTTACTATTTCAAGAAGCCCAAGAATGTGGATGCTTTATCCTTTCTTTTTAGAAAAATGTTGTTCAAGCAGACAAAATTGTTGTTGTTCAAGCAGACAAAATTGTTGCTGTGTAAACTGACAAAACCTCGAACAATATTGTTTTTATATGCAAAATACATTATTTAGAATGTCTCATTAACGAAAATGGAATTCACAGCAGAACTTGGAATCCAAATATGTAATAAAAAGAATAACGTAGCGCATGAGTTAATTATTAGTGTTGTTCGGTCACGAGTTGAATATTTTTCGATATTTGAATTCTTTGATTAGTTATTCTTTTTTATTACATTGATAATGGGCTTTTTAATGGAAATAAAGTAGAAAATGTAAGGAACTATATCTTTTTCTACGCATTCACAATTTGTTTTGATGCAACGTCGTCGACAACGTCTTGACAACGCCTATTGTTGTTTGACGTCAGATGAGTGAAATAACCGAGTTTATTTCACATGTGAAATTATCGGTTTTTATTTCACAGGGAAACCACGATAATTCATTGCAAGCAATGTAATAAAACTGCTTATATTAGAGAAGTATATGCAATTTCAAGAAGCAGTTATGTTTTGGAACTTGAAGTTTATGAGGTTCGAGGTTCCACTTGTTGACAATGATACAAAATGGACCTTCCGTGCATACGACTCCACATGATGTATCACAGGTCTCATATTCATTTGAAACATGACATTGAAGTACAACAACTTATAAATAATGATAGTATGATCGTGAGTAGCCACACGTGAAGGGGATTCTCCATACACCAGTTAAGTATTTTTATTTTTATCCTTTTTTTATTATTAAATGTTACATGTATAAATATTATGATTATGATTATGCAAAAAGAATAATTCAGTCATTATTTCCATCTAATTTCAGCGTTTGCATGACAACAGTTGCCACAACAGTTGCAATAGGAATGATGCCATTGAACTTGTGGGTGTATTCCCGTAGTTTCATTACATCGACGCTTACTGTGCCATACGTCATCATAGTCATCTCCTTGGTTACGATACTTGTTCCTGTAGCTATTGGAATGGTTATCTTGAAGAAGCTACCAAAGCTCGCGACATATATTTTGAAGGTATTCTTTTATTTTAATGTGTACCAAACAAGAATCCTGAAGTTAATTGTTATGCTTACTGAGGCACGATAGAAAGGTCATGTGACCAACTAATTCCTTCAATTATTTATCAACAAAATGTACCATTCAGATAGGTTTGAAAAATTGTAAAAAAAAAATAACTTGAGAGGCAAAATAACTATAAAAGTTAATCAAACTCAGAAGTCGAAAAAAAACTGACAACTCCTTGGCAAAGAGAGGCGAAAGATACCAAAAGGGAATTCAAACTCACAAGTCGGAAATAAACTGACAACGCCTTGGCAAAAAGAGGCGAAAGATACCAAAGGGACATTCAAACTCACAGTGCGGAAAATAGACTGACATCGACATGGCAAAGAGTGGCGAAAAATACCAAAGGGACATTTAAACTCACAAGTCGGAAAATAGACTGACAACGCCATGGCAAAGAGAGGCAAAAGATACCAAAGGGTCATTCAAACTCACAAGTCGGAAAATAGACTGACAACGCCATGGCAAAAAGAGGCGAAAGATACCAAAGGGACATTCAAACTCACAAGTCGAAAAAAGACTGACAACGCCATGGCAAAGAGAGGCGAAGGATACCAAAGGGACATTCAAACTCATGAGTCCAAAATAAACTGACAACGCATGGCAAAAAAAAAAAGAAAAGACCAAAAGACAAACAAAAGTATACAAAACACAACATAGAAAACTAAAGACTGAGCAAAACGAGTCCCACCAACATCCGGGTGAATGCCAGTTGCTCTGGAAGGGTAAGTAGATCCTGATCAACATGTGGCACCCGTCGTAGCTCTTAATAACTCTTTATTATTGTTATTATTTTTTAGGCTGGAGGAGTGCTTGGAATGCTTTTCATTGTAATAGTACTTGCCATAAATATGTATCTGTATCCCGGATTGTTCAGTTCAGATTGGAAAATGATTCTTTTAGCAATTGTTCTACCGTGGTTTGGACTGTCTGTCGGATATGCAGGTTCCAGAATTGCATGTCTTTCTCACAAACAATGTCGAACCATCGGCATCGAGGTATCATCGCAGAATGTTGCCCTGTCAACTACTTTAATATATTTATCCTTTGAAACGGATGATGCAACAAAAATAGTTGTCTTTTCTTTGATCTTTGGAGTATTCTCAGTTACTTCGCTTACAATATTCACTCTTCTCTACAGAATATACATTAACTGTGTCACAAGAAAGAAGAAATCGTTGAATGAAAACGAATCAAAGGAAAAGAAGGAAAATATTTACCAAATTTCCATAACAATTGCTTCTCAAGATTGAAATGGGAATTAATATGGTGTATCAGAAACATATGATACAAGAGATTGGTAACTCCCCGAACTATAGTATAATGACGCGACCACCACTTAACCTTCGCAAGAATGTATTTGATATATGATATATTATAAAGTCATTCATTTTTATGGAACATAATTTATTCTAATATGGAAAGCTTATTTTGCGAAATAACTCACTGATCCGTGCTATAACTATTAGGAAACGAGTGTAATGTTAATTGGAATTATAAAAACGAAGAGTATCTCGTATGATGAAACATGTTGATACATGAAATTAATATGCTTACCATAAGTAGTTCAAAGTAATATAAATATGACATGCGAAGAATACAATGGTAGTGAAGACGTAAGATATACATTTTGTATATCTTATTTTGAAAATTTACTTTTCTATTTATCATCGTCATAAATGTGTACAGCCTATTTTATGTCGACATCTTTCAGTGTAAAATACAGCTTATATAAATAAGATGTGGTAAAAATTTCAAAGAGACAATTGTCCGCCAGACACCAACGGACGAGGATGTATACAACGTTTTGATTCTATTCTGTAGCTACAAGACATCTAGTCTTGCATTAAAATATTTTATCTTGGTGAATTTTCTTTTATGTTTGTTTTACATTTCTTGACAATCCAAGATGCATTGGTGTTCATCCCCTGTTTCTGAAATGTCACTTATTTCACATTAACAATCTTGTCAGTAATGATCCTTCAAATACGTTTTATCGGCAATGAGTGATTTGAGATTTTATAACATTTTTGAGTTATATTATATCACAATCTCCAACTATATAAAAAAAAAGCCTTTAGAGACCACGTATTTTTAAAAATACTATTGTTTTTACATTTTTTATATACGTCGTTCTAGAGTCAAGCATACTGTTTACATCGTACGCCTGTCTTTACTACCTTGCATTACATTATATTTGGACCTTTTTATAAAACCATAATAGATTTTCATTCTTTGACATTTCAAACTAAGATAGTCGTGATCCAAAATTAAATTAATCTGTGCAATTTTCATTTTCCAAATGCTTTATTTCAGGAAATAAATTAAAATTTGTAATCAATAAAAGAAAGCTTTCTACTTAACGAGTTAAAATCTTAGAGCTAGATTACGGAACTGACTTAAATTTCACTATTCGTGCGGGTGCACTCGACTCCAATCTTCATTGACTAGGA